GTCCTCAGGCACCTCTCCTGTTCTCCCTGACCTCTCCAAGATGATGGAGAGTGGCCTAGCGATAACATCTGCCAGGTCTCTCAGCACTCGTGGGTGCATCGCGTCAGGGCCCGTGGATTTGTGGATGTCTAGTTTGGACAAATGATCTCTAACCTGATCCTCCTCCACCAAGGGAGAATCTTCCTTTCTCCAGCCTTCCTCTCTTGTCCCCAGGGTCTGGAATTCCTGAGGACTGGCCTTAGCAGTAAAGACGGAAGCAAAGAAGGCATTCAGTATCTCTGCCTTCTCTGTATCCTTCGTCACTAGGGCACCCACCCCATTCAGCAGTGGACCTACGTTTTCCCTCGTCTTCCTTTTGCTACTGATGTATTTGAAGAAGAACCCCTTCTTGTTGTCCTTGACATCCCTTGCCAGATTTAATTCCAACTGGGCCTTGGCCTTCCTCGTCGGATCCCTGCACACTCTGACAAGTGGCCTGTCCCCTTTTCCGTGTTCTATAGGCTTCCTTCTTCTGTTGGAGTTTTGTCAGGGGTTCCTTGCTCATCCATGCAGGTCTCCTGTCCACTTTACTGGGCTTCTTACTCATAGGGATGCACTGTTCTTGAGCCTGGAGGAAGTGATGCTTGAATATTAACCAGCTCTCCTGGACCCCTCTTCCTTCTAGGGCCCTAACCTGTGGGATTCCTCCTGATCTTGTTATACTTTGACTCCCAAGCATATAATGCTGGTTGCAGTCAGAGATGACTAGATGACATGGAGTTCTTGTAGTCTTATGTTCTTAGCAATAAAAGGATTGTTAGAGTAATTAAAAACTTTAAAAAAAGTAAACAAATGTCATAATATATGTAGATTTTACATTACACAAAAAAGTAGACAGCATGCATCTGCTACATATATTGAACTACAGTTATTTCATTATTAAACATTGTAACTCTCAAAGCATCATCAAATGTCTTTATTTTCAAACTGCTATTATTATAAATCACACTTATGAAGCAATGACCAGTTTTTGTGACTACTGATGTAAAAATTAAAATAATTTTAGTTTTCCTCCATTCTGAAGATGGATCTCAGCTTTTTTTTGTCTTGTTAGATGACATAGTGGTTTTGGTGATTTGTAAAGCACATGAAGTGTGATAAGTGATTCTTATCTCTGAGATAAATTACTTGATAAAAGGCATCTATTTCGGGAGATATTATAATGAGTCAGATGAATTGCAGTTGCAGCATGCCAAAGGATTAGTTACTCTTTACTCTCTGCTCTGATCTCTTACCAGAGATGTGTTTTTAAAACCAAATCAACTAAAATATCCGAAGTATGCAATTTTACGAGAAGAAAACAAGTCCTTTTACCGCGTTGTTAATATGATAGTCGCCGTTGACATCCGTGGTGGTTCCCTCCCCCCCACCCCAAACGAGAGGAGTGTGATAACGTATGGTTATCTTGCTGTTTCACTGTCATTGTCTAGTTATGTCTCACGGGTAGCTTTGCTAGAACTGCTTTCCAGAGTCCTGCTGACTGCTTCAGTTTTTGCATGACGCAATTACTGTTCAGCTGATACTGATACAAGGTGAGGATGGAAGTAAGCGTGGAAGGGTAGAAGTCCAACTAGCCTGCCATTTTATCTTCTGTAGTTGCTGCTACAGATGTCTCTGTGGTGTTACTTCCCCTTGGCCTTAATTCAGCCTTAGATTGTGTGCTATGTCCCGTTTTTTACATCATACAGCCTATTTGTTTCTTGAATTTAATAATTCTTGTACTTGATGTCGTAAGTCATTGTTCTTCACTGATAACTGATCTCACCAACTATCAGTTAAATTTTTGACAGGAACATTACTGTTAAAAGAGGTTTCCAGAAAATCATGTCCATCTATCCTAATCAGTCAGGGAATGACAGAACTGATGGAGTACAGTTGTGCATATGCAGCTGTTCACTAGTAAAATTTTTTTTTTTTTGAAAGGAAAGGTCTATTTTATGTTACTGGGTGGTAGTGTCTAGGCAGTATGAAGTTTTTAGTTTGTTAATTTATCCTATTTATTTAGTTGGTGACTTTAACTGTAAAGTACTATAGCAGTAATAAAGCATACTTAATGGGTAGTAGCTTCTGTTCCTTCAGAAGACAACATGGAGATCTGTGCTTTAGCAGAGTTATTAGATGGGCATGTCTAATGTTTGACAGTAAATAATTTTCCTGAGGCAACAGAATTATCCCAACAACCTCCTGAGTCTCCAGAACTGTTTATATTTAAATGTTACTGTGTTTTGAATTTAAGCTCCTATCCTGAGATTATTTGGTTTTGATCTTGCATGACTTAATCAAAATAGATAAATCTGAGTAGAGTTCTGTTTCTGAATGAATTTCTGTTCCACCTGTAGGAAGATCATTTAAGACTTCTATTATTATATCCTTATTAAACATTCAGGCTCTAAGTGATTTCATACTCAGACGTCTTTTTCTTCACACTTTATTTCAATTAATTTTAATTTGTAGCACTCTCCAGGGGGTATTATGTTGCATAAATCCTTGATCAAATCAGGAGCTCACCTCTAAAATGTCTCTGAATTCTTGAGCATCAGATGGCAAAATACAACTCAAAAATTACAGAAATGAAGAAATAATTCTTAAAATAGCTCCAGTCAAGCTAGTAAAATTGAAATCAAAGTGTTTTAACCTGCCACATTTATTTAAATCAACAGGAAGAAAATCTTTATTAAAATATGACTTTTAATCTTATTCTGTATTTGCATTGTTTCCACTAAAAAGATTGATTTTTGTTTTAATTGGTTTATAATAGTAAAACAAGGTGATTTTCATCTAAATACAGCCTTTTCAATGAATGGATCGTTTCTATTAGTTATCTAAGAAAACAGAATTTAAAGAAAAGGAATTACATAGTTTATTACTCATCTGGATTCTTAAATACTTTATTTCTTGGGTTATAAAATGATGAATGCCATTTGAACTCATGCAAATCGTAAATTGTAGTTGGTGACAAGTTGCTTCTGAGAAAAAATCAGGATTAAATTAAAATATAAAACTAGCATATTTTAAAGTCACTTTAATGCAAAATACGTTTTTATAAAAACAAATAAAATATACTATAGCAGAAGATCTATTAAATGAAGACCCTATTATATGTCGTTTTGCAGGTGTTTCTGGTCATTGTATTCCTCATTATTTCAGAATAAGGTTTTTATTTATTTATTTATTATTAAGGTTATTTATTTATTTATTTATTTTCCAGATTAAAAGAGGAAATTCATTCCTGAAAAAAAAACTTAACTTCAAATGAATGGCTTACCTGAAGTTGTGATAGAGATGTTAGCAACAAACATAACATGAAAGCTACATGAATGACTGGATACGTGAAAAGTAGACTGAAGTCTGAACTAAAATCAGATTGACTCAAGTTATAGCTGTCAAAAGTTTACTTTCGTTACTTCAACAGTCCGTATTCACTTTGTTGTTCAGTGAAATCGACTCAATTCTATAATTTGGTTTTCTTTAAAAATATTTTGCTGCTTGTTTATCAGTACATTTTTAAATGTAATTTATGAAACTACCTTTATTATAGTCATGTATAACTTCATTTTTAGAGGTTTTAGTGAAAATATCAACATTAAATGATGGACTTGATTATTTTTTCGTATTGATTCTGCAGTCAGGTTTGGAATGCATGTCACCCCTCTCTTCATGTACATTGTATTGTATATGTGAGGACCTTACCTATTTAAACATATTGTTTATTTTTGTTTTCTCTTCTTTTAAAATTTCTACCTACTTTATTCTAAAATGCATTTGTGGCAGTCTGGACTCATTATCAAAGAACTAATTGTGCATAGTATATTATTGATAGTAGGGTTATCTTTAAGGTGGCTTCAAAAATATTTTGATTGCAGATTTGCAACATGATTTTTATGAAACGGTATATTGTTGTTTTTATCATGGCAGCCGTAGGATATAACAGATATGCCTCTAACTTTTAAATTGTTGCAGCATAGATTGTCCGGTAATCACTGTATAGAAACAAATTAGTTAATGGAAGACAGTATCTTCACTTAGTAGAAAAATGATCAGTTTTTAAAATTTGTTTATTCATATGATTGTAGCACTTTGCTCCTGACATCTTAATAATATCTTTCATTTCTTTATTAAGTAGCAAATTAGAACAAATATTGAGAGAAAGGAGGAGGGGTTTATTTAAATAGGATGCTTTGCACATAAGTTAGTTGGGTAAATGCCATCAGGAAAAAATATTTGGAAGCAGTGTTGGCTAATTTGAAAGCAAGATTAGGAATGAAGACTTCTGACTATTATTTTTGAAATTTCCATTGGTTCCTCTGGCCGACATTGTATTTCTTTGCAACTACATGCAAAATTCTATCACCCAACTGTCACCCCCTTCCAAGAGAACTGAGCTTAGTACTTGTGAGGAATCTTTAGGGTTGAGCGTGTTCTTCACAAGCAAAACAATTTTACTGGGATGTGTTTTGTGCTAATGTCCTCCAAGTACAATATAACATTGTTCTGAAGTTGCCACAAAGAAATAATTTATTCAGAGATTTAAAATGCAGTGAGATCTTACGTGACCGCTTTAGATAGCGCATGCAGGGACCTGTAGTGTTCTGCAAATACATTGTGCTGGAGATGGGGAGCAGTGTGCAGGTTTTCATTTATTTAAATGAGCACCTAAGTATTCATGTTCACATCAGTTTAATAATTATACAAAAGTGAGGAGGGGATGCGGTATAAGATTATTTATTCTTCTGATACTAATCCAATATTTGAAATGGGAATTACTATGAAGTGGTTTTAAAAAGTGAAAATATATATATCTGCAAATTTTTTTTTTGTTTTCCATATTTCATAAATAACTTCAAGTCTTTTTAATGTTTTCGGAAGCGTGCCTTTTGCGAATAACAGATTTCTGAATGAAGTCCAACTTGTGAAGCAGAAAGCGGTTGCTGATCCTCCAGGTGATACAACTTCAGAAAAACCTGAGAAGACAAAAGATGACTTGGGAAGTCTGACATATCAAGCAGACAAAACAGTTACCGCAAGTGGTGAGTTTTGGATGGAATTATAGATCAAATTTTAAAAGGTAGATAAGGAATTCGGTTTATGTATTATTTTTTATAAAGAGGTCAAAGTTATAAAGAGGTAAGAGTTAGGGGACTTGTGTTTTAGTCTCAGCTCTGCCATGAGCTTTCTGTGTTTCTTCAGTAGTTAATTGAACTGTGCGCCACAGTTTCCTTAGCCAGTAGTGTGAAGCAGGGATGATGATGGTCCTTTCCTACCACCTGAAGTGCTCTGAGGGTGAAAAAATGGCAAGGGACTTTTGTAAAACAGATACAAAAAGTAACGTTGGAGCTAAAACAACAATTCTCATTCTGAAATTGTCACACTGTTGTTGTTTCATAACACTTGCATCTCTCTTGCCACTAGAGGTGAGGTTTTGATCCATGGCTTACAGTCCATTTTATTTGCAGTGCTTATTCGTGCTGTAAAATGGAAAACCACAGCCCAGCTTTTTGCTTGTCATCCATAGCTTATGATTGGCTAAGTGCTTATGAAAGATGGGAAGAGACAGTAACCACTGCAACAATGGACGCTGCAGCATGTATTAAATCACCTGTCTTAAATAATACACTTGCCCAGCCAAAAACTAGCATGGCATCCTAAGGTTGCAGCATGCATCGGCCACAGTACGCATTGGGAAAAGTACATTTGTTCCACAGTAAGCATCACTGGGCATGAATGATAATAATCAGTTGTAGTATGGTTCTGTCAAAATAAGTTAGGGTACCAATAATGTCAATGAAAACTTTACTTGACAACTGTTTTCTGCCGCTATCCAGCGTGGCAAAATCCTGCTTTTGTGGAGTGAGCTTTGGAAGAGTAGTAAGAAAAGCACAGTAGAGCATGCAGCTAAATAGGGAGGCATTTCAGAGCCTTCCTCTATGCATACAGATGGTGGTGGGCAGCTCAGGTTACAGCACAAGGATCTGTTTGAAGAGCTTAACCTTGAACCACATCTACCTTGTTTATTTTGCAGCTCTGGCTAAGTCTTTCTTTCCCATGACTCTGAAGACCTGTGACTTACACGATCGGTTATACACATACATCTCTCAACCTTCCCCCCACTATTTCCTTCACAATTAAGGCAGTTGGAACTTTTCATTTACAGTCTTTGATGTTCTCCATGTGGGTTATTATTTTGCCTATGTTCAGAGTGGACTGTTCTTTCCCCAGTGTAATCTTTGTACCGCAAATATTTCTTGTCACGTTACTACTGTTGCTAAAAGAAAAAACTCAGGTAATAATATGTTGAATTCCTCGTTTCCTTCTATGTGCGTTTTAAATTTATGCTGACAACATTCTGCCTTTTCTTTTATTACAGGCTGGACCAGTAGCACTAATATTTCTGCAGTTCTTTTTAAAGTTGCTTTGTTCACTTGCTACAGTTTTGCCAAATTAACTATTTGTGTTGAAATACTTTGCTTGGTTAGTTCAGTGGTTGGGCAAAGCACCTGAACCTAGGATTTAAACGGATGAGGCTGGGGCTGGTTGGGCTTTTCAGGCTGGGTAAAGACTAGGTCTGGGGTAAAGGAATTTTGGGGAATGTAGACTCAGCAACTGAGTAAATTACAAAAATGAATGAGTTTATCTTCCTGGTGTCCTTGCGAGGAGAAGGAAGTACAATATTTCTGTTTTGTAGATGTGAAGTTATAAAATACAGTTTTCTGGAAAAAATAGAAGACAGTCATATCACTAAAATATCATTGATGTCAGAACGCATATATGCAAAGGAACAATTGATAGCAAAGATAAATTTAATTTTGGTAATTCCATGAATTTTTAACTCTTGCTTTTGCAAATTTCTCTTCCTTATAAAGTAGAGATGCCATATGCAATAGGGCAGACTGTGCAATGAAGTCTTGAGCATACTGAAATATTTGCCTAAGTTTGTGTTAAAGCATATGGTTGACATCATCTTCTAAGGAAAACACTTGAGTTGTGCCACCTGCTGCAGTAGATTTTAAATTACGTATTTGATTAATTGTAGGAAAATGTTTCCTTCTTCCTACTCAGTCTAACCCCGCTCTCTGTTAATAGGTAGAAGAGCTTCTGGTCCAAAAAAAGTCATTGCTGCAGGCAACAAGAGACTGTTGAGCCATGTTAAACTGCCTAATGCCCAGACCATGCTCGTGGCTATGGCAAAGAAACATGGCAGTACTTCACTGCAGTTGGCTCTCATGCCTCTCCTCGCAGGTATTACTCTGTAAGAAATGGGCCGGGAGGGAGAGGCGTGCTGGTGTACTGCCTGTTTCTGAAGCACCCACACTCATGAGTCTGTCTAGTGGAATCTGTTTTGAAAGATCTCTAGGGAAATGTCCTGTTCTGTCTAAAAGCTGACTGGTTAAAATAGAAAATAGTTTGAGGTATTAGCTGAGATTTGGTTTTGATCTGGAGGAGGCTGACTTGTTTAGAGTTCTGGAAGTTCTTGTATCCTGTTTCATTCAGAATAGGTTGGAAGTGGGATATTGGTCAGAAGAAAGTGGGTAATTTCTGTGACTTCTCTGTGGCTAGAGAAGTCATTATTAATATATGTTGTTCCATATGTTGTTATTAATATACGTTGTTCCATTTTGCTGTATGGTGAGTTAAATCTCCCCTTTTATTCTGTGCATATAGACAGCAGTAGCAATAGGTTGTGGACAATGGAACTCAGCTGCTGAGCGTATATAAAGACGTGGCAAAGGAGCTTGCAGTGAAGGCAGTGCTGTGGCAATTACACTGTTCTCATAAAGGCTAGCTCAGGTGCATCTACATGAACTGAAGTCACACAGGACTACAATATTTCGGGAGTTTTCCCTGGTGCTTACCTGCTGCTTATTTTTCTGTGCATGGCATCTAACTGGTTAATTCAGATCAGTTTCTTTTTATTTTAAGCCCACTGTAGCACTCCATCACTAAGAAATATGTTCTGATAGGAAGAAGTATTTTTGCGTTAGTTTCTAAGAGCAGTTCTTCCTCTGCTGGCTTTGCCATTAATTCCTTGTTAAGCTTGAAAGAATGGCTTGTGAGCCTCAAAAGTTCATCCGTTTTTGTTTGACTCTCTGTCTCTTATCTGCGCCCACTAACATTACTGTGTAGTTGTCCATGCTCCTTGCAACATGAGGATGGCAAATCCTGGAATAGAATTTGGGAGAAAATAGCGACGGTAGTTTAAGTTCCATTAGAAATGCAGGTTGTCAGCTGTCTCTAGGGTTGTGCTTGTTTCCTGCATGCAAATTGGCTGTTGGCTGAATTTTTTCCCATGTTAAAAAAAAAAAAAAAAATCTGGTTTAGGGCTGAAACCTTAAACCAAAAATATATGCAGTCACTATTTAACTTCCGTGGTATCATCTTGTGAGCATCTTTGGCAGATAGTAACTTCTTACAGCGATATGCCCCTAGTTCTGTCCCCCGATACAGGAATAGACTTAAAGTTACAGGCTCACTTCTCCTTGTTACCGCCCATCTAGAGAAGTAACGTGTGAATACACTGTGATATTCTCAGACATTTCTGTAACAGGAGCATACTAATATCTTAGCATGATGTGCAAGTTTTTTTTAGTTGGAGCATTCTACAGAATCTACATTTGAGCCAAACTTTGTCATAGTTCCTGTCCCACCTTTGGCTCTATAGCTAGTAGTATATTGTAGTAGATGGATCAGTGATTTCCACTCTATAGCCTGTCCCTCATTCCTCAGAGTCAAAATACAAGGTAATTCTCAACATCTGAAAGCTACAGAAGTGGATATAGATGCAGTCATTCTACTCTCGTTTTGTCAGTCCACTATTTACTTTGCAACAGTCAGGTATTTCAGCACACAGAGGGGCTCGCAGAAAGTCTAACTCTTTTTTTTTTTCATGACAGCATTGTTAGGAAAGTGTTTTCACGTACATTCAGCTCAGAGATAGTTAAAAATAGTCTTTTTTTATATTGCATTCGGATAGGATTTTGAACAAATTAATACAGTTCTGAACAGAGTTTTGGGAAGACGCATTCATAAAGAGCTGAAACATTCTAGGTGAGCAATGTGCAACTTTTTAAATAAGATTACACTTTACACTGTTTAGGTATACCTGTCAAATAGATAGGCTTTTTTTTTTTTTGGCAATTCTCATAAAATATTCCACACTAATAGTTTTAGCACTTCCACAGTATTTGCAACTTGTGTTATATCCGTCAAATAAACGATGGCCTGAGAATTGCTTCTTTAAAAAATGTTTGGCATGATGTACTTGTGATTTAAGATGGGCATGGTGGAAAAGTTAGGCCTAAATCTTCACAGGTTGCTAGGTGCAGCAACACTATTTAGCATTTGAACTTGACTTCTGATAGCAGAACCTTAACTGTTAAGTTATTAATACTTCTGGGACCAGGAAATGAAAGAAGAGGGAAAATTAAATCTGACATGTTGAAATGACGAATGATAAAGCCCATTAAATAGCAATTTTTTTAAGGTGTTAGCAAACCTTTAACAAAGGGTTTGATCATGATGAAAAAATCTCTGAACTGCTTTAATTTTTGTATTTGTGTGGACTGCATGTTTGCAGCTAGCCAAAGTGGGAGTCTTGACGCCGTTTCAGGACTTTTTTCCTCACCGTAGAAGATAATATTTAAAGCAGTTAAAATTATACTTTTGCTTCATTTTAATACAAATCCAATGGAGATTTTAACTGATTGAATCAATTACTGCTGCTTTGATGGAACTGCTTCTATAACAGTATTTATTCTTTTATGTTTAAAAGGGGAAAAGTCTGTGATCAGTCGTCTGGAAGAAAACAATCCTAAAGTTTTAGATGCCTATATGACTTTCACTGTGGAAACACCTCTTCTGTCTGAAAGACAAAGACATGAATTGAATCCACTGATTATAAAGATTCGTTCAGCTACCTGCCTCCCAAATACACCTGTACCAATAGAAGTGCTGCAGGTAACACATACCACAAGTTTCTTTCTGAAGAATTCCCCTTTTTACTTTGCTTAAAATACGAGTATGGTTTTAAGGAGAACTTTGCTTATTATATAGCAAGATTTATAGAATATGGCTAACATATTTCCTGCAAAAGAGACGTGGCCATATTAGTGGCTACGTATCATAGGCATTGACAGCAAAATAGCAGTCCTTGTGTTTTCCAAGGGTTGTAAGCAAAGCTGAGGTCTGGCAAAGGAAGGGGACAATAAATTCCTGAAACCAGGATCCACGCACATAAAATGGCCTCTTTGGTGCCTTGAAAAGACATAGTTTGTGCCTTGAAGTACACCCCCCATATCTTCTCTATTAGAAAAGCCTGTTGTTAACGTGAGAGTAGAAATTAAGAGGAAAAGAGAAAAGTTAATACTACAAATATCTGTTTCTTCTCATTTTTTTTCTTTAGAAATTGTGTGTTCCCACTTACTGTAAATACAAGTTTCACAGCTTTCCAGTTCATCAAACTCATGGACAAATCCATGGAACTCATGTCTACTTTAAGGATGTTAACGTGCTTCTAACAGGGACAATGAAACCCGAAGAATTAAAAGGGTATCTTAGAGGTCCGCCTATGGAGATTGAAGTTCATGACCGGGATAGAAACATGGCAAACAACACACAAAAGCCATGTTTGTTTGGGGAGGATCAAGCTGATGAGAAAGTGGGTGAGGTGAGCCTCCTTGCTTGCAAATCCACAATCTATAACTCATTTACAAAGAACAAGGCGTGGCATCCACATGGGATAGCTAAAGTCAGTCTAGCTGATTTATTATTGGGTAAAAAGTGCTTGAATATCAGTGTGCCCATTCATAGCTGCTCAGCTCCAAATGCAGCTGCCTGCAAGGAGGAGGAGAAGAATGAGAGAATAGTAGGGTCAGTGGATAGTTTCTCCCTACTACCTATGGGGCATTATCTAGAGTCAGACTCGATCTTGAAAGTAAGAGTGGAAATAGCTATCCCACTGGGACTGCAAGCAGAAACTGCTGATACTGAAGTCACAAATTACCCGTATGGCTGCATAATCTACATTTTTGACTACAATAATGCGTCATTATTACATGATTTGATGGAAGAGATCACAGAAATCAATGCTGAAGCCCTTCGGCTGGACTGTTACCCTGTAGAGTTAATCCAAATGGCTTTTGCTACATTAAAACTGAAAACCACACACAAACATCAGAAAGTTTCTGAGTTGGATATTGTAACTGGTTTCCATGTACTGGATGGAGCAATTCATCTCTTTGTCTTGGAGGGATTAAAAGACGAAGCAATCAAGAGACTCTGGGACAGACACTTTGAAAGGTAAGAGTTTGGTGTTTTTTGTTAGTTATTTCCGTAGACTGAGAGATTTTGATCTGACTTGTACCTCCCCCATCCCTTTCTGTACAAAGATATATGGCCACATACATAGTTGAAGCTTTGTATGCAGTTTTAGTGAATATGAGCCCCAGTGTCCAGGTTAAAGCCTGAGGAGCAGTCTTCTCGTCTTTATCACATACACCATATATCACCCATATAAAGTTAAAATGAGAAGGATGCCAATATGTACTTTCTTTGTTAAGCTAGTTTGTGAAAACAATGCTATAATCTGCTAATCCTAAATAATAATAATAAAAATAATAAAACCTCTACTTTTCCATGATTCTCCTGTTCATTCCTTTGCAAAGAGATGGTGCAAACCTCAATTGAATTTGAATGCTCAGGTCGGAGACTTAGTCTGAGGCCTCTAGTCATTGAGGGGAGTATTTCTTGTATATCATGCCATGCTAACAGAAGATAAAGGTGATAATAGGTTTCCGTTTAATTTCTAATGATTTGTGCAGAAACATATAGTGAATTATGGGTCATAATTTATTTCTCTGTAGCTATTCTAGAGTAACAAATCAATGTACATGCATGAAAAGAAGATAAGGTTTCATAAGGAAATGTTTTAATTTCAGGTTTTGTTGAGAGTAGCGGTAGTGGACGAGGAAAAAATATGTAAAATTATGTAAAGAGCCCTTGAAAACAGCTATCTTCTGTAGGCAGTCCTTCTGATTATCATAATAGTATAATGGTTTGTGGTTACAGGATCAAGAGTGTAATTATGAGAACTCTGAAATGCACTTGAATAGTAGAGAGGGCAAGGGGCATGATCAAAAAAATCCTTAAGTTCTGTTTTTCAAAGACATTTTAGCACATCAGATCTTGAGGATGTTTCTGCACAGTAAGAGCAGTACAGTTTAAAGAAACAGTATGAAAGACGCATGCCTTGCTACGATAGCACAAGTCTTCTTGGCTTACTTCATACTGCTTACACACATGTGGAGCCCCATGCTTTCTGCCCTGGTCACATATCTCTGTCCTAGGTTTCAATGGACAGTGTAAAACATGCTCTAAAGTAAATTATGGCCTGGCACGTACTCTAACATCATCTAGCATAGCTAGCGTTATTTGCTAGTAGTTCATGAGATCTGAAAACAGAAATGGTCACTATAAGGAAGCTGGAGTCCAAGCTGTTTCCTTCTTTGAGTTTAGGGGAAAATGTGAAAAATTCAAAGAAAATCTTTGAAGGCAAGAAAAGGTTGCTTATACAAAACGTAAAGATTTCCACAGAAATCCACAAAAGTGGTGCAGACATATATTTGGAATTAAATACAACTAGCTGTTTTGGATAATCTGCGATTTCGATGACCTGCATTGTGAGGAAAAAGGAAACAAAGACACAAAAGAAACATTTTTAGCATCTCATACATTACATTAATAATAAAGAAATTGCACTCAAATTTCACATGAAATAACCCAGTGTTACCTCCAACATTAGGAAATCACTAGAGTGAGTTTCCATGTAAGAAGAACCAAAAAAAAAATGCAGGAAAAGAATTGTCTGAACAGGCTGTGTATAAAAAGAGACATGGAGACTAAGTTGTCTATTTAGCACTTTAATTTAAGAGACATTTGCAATATGGTTAATCTGTGATATTTAAAGGAAGTTGCTGTCAGTATAAACTGTTTTATATGCAGCTTATCTTGAAGAGAAGCGAAAAATAAAAAGTCAATAAAAATTGTATGTTTGCAGGGTATTTTGGTTACCATTTTCCTGGAAACTTGAAACTAGTTTCAACACTTAAAAATTGCTGTAGTCGTTGGTCCACTGACCAAAGTTCTTGGTGTAGAAAGCTTTGGAGAATGAGATACGCACACGCACCCTTTTTAACTTTTGGGAGAGATGAGTTCACGCTCTCACCAAAAAAAGATTGATTATTTAATTAAGGGAAAATGATATAGTCCAGGAAGTGCCCTTTTGTGTACATGAGCTCATCAACATGTACAAAGGGAATGTCACAGTAAGAAAAATCAAGATTAGATGTGTTTGTGTTCTTTGTACAAGTAGATTATGATTATTGAGATTTCAAAGTTAACTCAGCAACGCGAAGCTAATTCCCATTTTCAAAGGAGCTTCTGACAAACTTGAGTTCTTAGGCAATATTCATAACACAGGCCTGCTGATAAAACTGAAATAGCACAATCGGTGTTTAATATCCTACAGCTGAAGCGTGTCAGAAGTTTGCAAGATAGTTTTGGGTACCTTCTTAGGAAGTGCAAGGGCATAGAAAGTTCATGTTATTTTCCAAACTGAAAGCCAGGCGCGTTTCACTGAAATGAGTGGAACATTCACTTCTGAGAGAAATGACACGTCATTTATAATTTCTCTTCTTTTATTTATATAACGCCTGGGACTTGCAGTGAATGTCTCCCTCAAGTTTCATGTTAAAAATTTTGATTTTCTTCACTGTTAAAGCACATTCTTAAAGTTTATTTTGTGAAAAGTTGTCTCTTGTCCACGTTCACAGGTAACCTAATTTGGAGCTTTGCTTTCCTGCTGCAATATGAATTTTGGTATTTGTCATGGAAATATTTATATAACATTTTTGTAGTTAATAAGACTGTTGTAGGGCACAACACTGATTAAACTGAGGTAAGTTTCCTTTTAAATGATTACCATGTGATTTAAAAAGAAGATGTGTTCAGATCAATCAGGAACAGGAGGGTTTGGATAATTTCTTTTTCGTTTGTCCATAGTCATTATTTTTAAAAAAGCTCATGTGAGGCGAGAGCCATTGAGTGAGAGGTTCCATCTAAATGACGAAAGCAAGGCAGTTTCCGAAGAGATTGTAATTGTTTTGCAGTGTTGAGGAGACCTTAGCTAGGGGCTGATTGCTGTTTGGGTGCTGTGTTACAGGACTAACAGACCTGAAGATGGACGATTGGAAATACTATATAATTCACACCTGTCTTTCCATCAACGCCTCTATATAGACCTGGAAGCTATCCTGTATCATTTCCGCCTCTGTAAGCCCCTCTTCACTATAACGAAACAGCCGCTGCTTTATGTGAGAGGTATGGTTCCTTGGGCATGTTTCCAGGCTTTGTCCAGGTATGACTTTTTCTAGATTTATACTCAAGAAACTAAGAACTGAAATATTGTCAATGTAGAATGAATATTTGATACAAAAATTAATATTCTTGGATATATTTTCCCTGATAATCTGTCTGTAGGCCTGACAGGTAGTTCAGATTTTAGGTGAGACATGATAAGACAGAAAAGCGTGCTTTACTGATGTAGCGGTAACAGTATGAGTGAGCCCACTTTTTATGTGGCAGGAGGTTATACTTTGTAAAGAGGAGGAGAGAGATGTTATCAGTAGGATAGTATAATATCAGAAAATATCTGAAAATGATAAGAATTCTCATGTCAGAAGCATCAGCTGGGAAGGATTTAATTCCCTGCTCTGCTCTCTTAGAGGTGGTGTAGGATGGAGTAAAAAAGAAAGCCTAATAGAACTTGATGGGTCCAAAAAGGCACAGGAACTATGCAGGGAATTCAAAAAATAGTTTTCCTAATGTAACTAGGGAAAGGAAGAGGATGAGGGTTAGGGAGAATCTGTTTCCTGTTCCTGGCTTTCTGGTTTGAGGTTTTGTTGCATGACTTATTGCTGGACCTCTGCCAGATTACTCACTTCATCAGCACGCAGCTGTGTTCACAGCTTTTTTTTTTACCTTAAAGCATCTCAGACGTTACGTCTTATGAGATGGATGATAAAAAGGGGGTAAAGTTGCCTGTGCACACACTGTATGTGTCTGTATAATTTATAAAAACATGAAAAGATGGAAAACTTGTTCTGTGCATGTATTTCATGTAAACTAGGACAGATCTATTAAAAGGTGGAAAAAAGTACTGTCCATCTTTGATACAAGCAAGTCAGGGGTTTAGAAGGCAGAGACGAAGTATGATTGCTTACTTTCTTGTTATAAATAGACTGGCTTGTTTAGATTGACTTTCGAACTGAAATTGTGCAAAGCTTTTATGAAATGAAGGGGGATGTTCAGTCCTGAGACAAGAAAGGGTAAATGTCTCCTAGGCATCAGTCTCTTTTCATAAAAATTTCTTGCTAATAAGCAACGGCCGTCACTATGATGTCCTTAAAGTGGCTTTTTTTTTCCTTCAGCAGTGGTTGGGAGATACCTTTTATCCTTCAGCTGTGTGCTGACAATATGTGAGGTAGAAAAGAACGTAGTGGTACATATTTTAGACAGTTGGTAGTTAATTTTCTTATGAAATTTTATTCTAGTATCTCCTGTCCAAAAGAAGGCAATTAAATCAAGCAGGTGGGCTGCAGTGCAAAACTTGCTAGATAGCTGCAGGTGAGGTTTCTGCAGTGAAAGTGGAGGTGAAGGTTTGGGATGGCTGGAATAATTTTAAATGTGGCTGGTTATTTTTCCACTAGGGAGAGGTGAAACTACAGGAATGGTCACTGTACTTCATAGTACTCATTGCTATAAAATCAGGGAGTGCCGCAGTTAAATATCTTTAGTGGCGGAGACAATGTCCATCTAGACTCAAGTTCTGTTCAGCAAGCCACCATTATGGATGTATACCTAGAATGACAGAGACAACCACTAGGCTTTGGGCATGTTATTCCTCTCTGTCATGCCCTTATTCTGCTATGTCTCTAGTTACGCAGAGAAATGCACATAAATTCTTCAATAGAGTGTAGGACTGAACTGTGGTTAAGAGCAGTCTCTAATTTACAGCAATCCTGAGGTTTTTTTATATCATTTTGGTTTGCTGTTAGTCATTGGTTTGTGTGTGCCTAACAGAAATTGTTGCTTCTTGATACACTTCCTTCTGTCTAGAATTAACCAGAAAGTAATTGTAACTGTAGAAAAACTAGTGAGCATGATCCACGGGCACTTTGGCCAATTTCATTTTTAACATCTCAACATGAGCTCAGTTTGAGTCGTTAATGCCAATACAAGTTTTGAAATTAATGCTATTTATGTTAGCTGTGTGTATTATTCACTAGTGGTAAGAAAATAATATTGTTACAGTAATTTTACAATTTATTTTATAAACTCTGTCTGCTATGGCTTGGGTCAGAGAGGCTGAGAATTTAGTTTAAGTGCATGTATAACAAAGCTTGTGTATGGTGCTCAATAGCTCTCTCACGTTTAGAACCACTTTTGGCTTAACGTTAGGCTTTTCAGGCCAAACTTAGTGAAAAGAAATCAGATGCAACTTTCATGTAAGGTAAGTGTAGTCAAGAATAGCATATAGGATGAAAGTTATTCAGAAAGAGATGTAAAATAGAGATAAGGAAGGGTAGATTTTAGTGGGTGCCTAAAGTAAATGTGGGTCATGTACTAGAACCAGTGTGCGCGAAGGGAGTTTGTTGTATTGTCTTTATGGTAATTTTCTAGCCAGAGGCTAGACATTCACCGACTAACGATTTATCTTTCAACTGTAGCTAATGCCAGTGACGTTCCTAGTGTATTCCTAGCAGTTTTATCAAATTATTCACCTACTTTGTCCCTGCTGAATACCAGCGTACATGAACTGACCTGAACCTCTTACTAAGTAGATGTTTAAGGAAGGCTAAGGAAGGTCATAAAGGATTTTCCTCAGTAATACTAACTTTAAGAATTGGATTGCAGTAAAGTCTTTGTATACTAATAAAATGTTGGTGTCTACTTGTAGGCTCAGCTACCTCTGTCACAGTAAGCGGCTGAGGGATGTTGTTCACGGGGATTTGTTGCCCTCAGCAGAAATGATCACAGTCTTGAGTCAAGAGTTTGGAATTCCATTAACTAAAGAGGATCTGTTCACTCAGAAACCTCCTTCAGTCTCATTTTCCTCTGATTCTTATACAAAACCAGCAAAAGTTAGCAGTGTGAAACCAGCAGTATATTCTTCGTTAGATAACTACAATGAAAAGTATATGCAGTGGAAGAAAGAAATAGAAGACAAAATATCTTCTGAAAGAAACCATATTGAGGTGAGTAGTTTGTGATACGCGTGAAGCAAGCCTAATGGTTACACAACTTCGTATTCCTTAATCAACACCTCCTCCTCCTGAAGCAATGATTTGTTGGGCTTTGGTAAGCCATTTGTAGGCATCATACAAACACTATCAAAATGTGCATGGTAATTTTATTTTGCAAAAGTAGAATTGCAGAAGTAGTTGCTTCTCAAGGGGGAAGAATCCTAGTGCTTACAGGTGAAGAGAGAAGACACTGTGTGAAGGAGGGTGTTTATTTAAAAGAATTGTCACTTTTTTCTGGGTTTGATTCTTATCTGTCTTTGTCTCTTTCTTTTCTATAGCTTCCCCCATTGTGCTTTAGCATGTCGTTCAGGCTTCAGATCCTTGAGAGGAGGCAAAACAACTATGCCCGTGTAAAAACTGTGCTTCCTTCTCTTGGTTGCAAAAGACATTTGCCTTATGGCAACCAGCTGCAACTTCAGATTGGCGTTCATTACTGAGTAAAATCAGCATTTGCAGATAGAGTTGAGCTGGGGCTTAAGGAAGTGGCAAAGAGCTTTAGAACCTCTTCTGGGTTGTTACCTGAGGAAACCTCAGGGAAAACGAAAACCTTTCCTGTTTACACAGGCATCCACAAGAGTTTGTTTTCTGGGAGTCCATAATGTTTTTTTCAAAGTATATTGCTTAACTTAGGACTCTAGCCATCCTGTGGTTTGTGAAGAGTAATTCTGAATGCTTTCTTGCTGTTTATATTTTAATATAAAAAGGGCTTCCTTGACATGCAAAAATCTGTGTTCGTATATAAGGGTACCCTCCTGGGGATGTTGAAAGAAATTTAAGTTCTAAGTATTTCCTCTTTCGCTGTTAGTCTGTTGATAAAGGAGTGTTGCACTAGGGCAGAGAAGAAAGCAAGTACCAAAAACAATTACATAAGACTGCTATTGTAACATCATGAGAGGATCAGAGCACCAGCTCTCTTAAGGTCTAACCATCTTCTACAGATGAAGTTAAGGGTAATTTTATTGTATGTATAAAGTCTGCAGTCTTCTCAGTGTATGTGTTTTAACCAGTTTTCATTTTGCAAATGCTTTTGAGTCAACAGGATAACAGAGGAACTTAAAAGTCCTCTATAGAAAAGAAAATACAAAATTCTTTTTTATTAACAGACTAAAGTGACCTTTCAGGCTTTTGATGAAAAATACTATTTTGGAGCTAAAACGTTGAATGTTTTAGGGAACTTTCGAAGTTATCATAGGGAAGTGACTTCCAAAATATGTTTTACTCACTTGCAGTAATTATCTATTGTGCCAAAGTCTGAATTCAGCGCCAAATTACTCTAAACACAGTAAAGAGTGATGATCTTACATTAAGGAGAAGAGTAGGAATGTTTTAATTACACTGTGCCGGCAGAGAAATTTAGAGAGTTACGTGATGAGTATTGTTTCCTGTGTCATTGTATTTGCTGGGATGGTAACAAAGTCATAGAAATGAAAGAATCAATCTTATTTGCCTTGAAGAAGACCAGTTTAGCAACATCTCTGTAGAACAGCTATTTAGATCTGTAAAGTAAAGTAAAAGTAAAAGTTACTGGTGAGTGCTCACTTCCAGTGTACCGCTTTTAATCTTGTGGGATGTCATATGCAGGAATTAAGTGAATCTGCAGCAAAAAACAATGCTATTTCTGTTTCATAAAGCTTTTTGTGAAGCATTTTGTTAATATACTGTTACGTAATAAAATATATAATATATTATGTAATATAGAATTAAGTATAGCCTTTGCTTATAGAGGTTTTTTGTGGACGGGGTAATGGCTACTTTAGGAACAGTTCTTTTTTTTCAATGTATGCAGAATCGGTTGCTTTTCCATAATTTTATAACAATATTGTGAACTCAGAATCAGATGAAACTGATACGTAATCCTTCTTTTCAGGCCAACATTGCTGCTGTAAGCCAACTCAAAGGAAAGATGAAAAACCCGAAGTTTGAAGCCTTCAGGATTTTTCCTGTTGATGGCAAATCTGTCTATAACTACAGTTCTCAGAGCCTGAATTCTACAGAACTTGCAAAGAAACGTCTTCGCCAGGAAATGGCAACGGTGAATTGAGACACACATGGCTTGCTATACATAATGCTAAAAGAGAGAGTTGAATTAAATTAGGTTTACATAAGATCCTTTCATGTTAGCATATAGGACAGCAGCTTCATATCTAAAAAGATTGTGATCTGAGAGGGAGGTGCTCTTGCTTGCTGTGTAAAATTCTACCCTTAATGCCATTCGTTATAGCCCAGTTGTCTTGTCTCCATGACTTGGATTCCCGTTTCGAATGTGGACTTGATAGCCTAGGAGGTCACTGCCAGTTCTGAGTCCCACACGTTTATAAATGGGAGAATATGAATAATAGTAATGTCGATGTACGCAGTGTAAGGTGATCTGAGGAGACGTTTAATGGAACTGCCTTTTTTCCCCCCGAGGTCTGTGTTATGAACTAGGTTTTTTGAAGATGATCTATAAACACGCACATAGTCTCAATATGCATTTTTTTACATTTTACTAAACACCACTTAAGTCGTCGTCATCAGCTGAATAGATCCAAGTTTATAGGAGCGTTTTCCTGTTTGAAAATCAGACTTCCGGAGTTTAGGCGTCTGCAAATAGGGATAGTAAATGGAATCTCGGGAACTGAGATCTCATCAAATGTAGGCCTCCACTTTACGACGAGGTGATCTGTTCTGCAGACTCTGACTGTATTGACTAGAATGTAGTGAGAATGTACAGGTAGTTTTGACAGAACCATACCTAAAGTTAGGCAAGATGAATACCACCCTTTTGAGACTAACTTTAGTGAGAGTCAGAGCTCACATCTTGAGAGATTTGTATATACATTCATTTAAATTTCAGGCTCAGTTTACCTCAGTGTTTTGTTTTGTTTTTAATCATGGTATGAAGTCTTGCCTGAGAAATACTTGAATTAATTGGTGTGAGTTTGGATGACTTTTATTTTTTTCTTTTTGAAATTATCTGGGATGGATCAAAAGTGGGTTTGCGTGAAAAGCGGACTTGAATCTTAATAACAAATGCTATTTTTCATGCTGTACCATGAGTATGGTATGAGCTATAGTTCTCTGTGTGCATGCATAGGTAAATGGATATACTGTTAAAAGTATTTCTCCTCTGTGATTATTTTACAGAGATCCCATTATATCCCTTGTCATTAAACCCATAGTTAGATCATAATAGAAAGACATTTTAAAATACTTCTTTGAGTATTTAGTGATGGTTCTTCTCCCTGCCTAATTTTGATGGTATCTTGTAGCCATAAGTAGAGAACTGATAGTGATTCTGTAACTTCGGTTATATTTTCCAAGGATATGCGCTCCTCTTCCAGGAAAAGGGGAGTTCACATTAATAAAATTTTTTTTTTTTTTTTTTTTTTTTTTTTGCAGGAACCAAAGAAGAGATTCACTTACTGTCGTGAATATCTATCGGCTATGTTGGATCCAGTGGATTTGGTTGCTGCTTATAAAGAATCCTTAGCAAAATCCAAAAGTATGTGGCTGTCACCAGATGGATTTGTATTTCCTGGATATAAGAGCAGCATTGAAAGCAACCTTCACCCTCAAATGCCTGATAAGGCACGTCTGAAGGAGTTAAGTGAGGTAACGTAAAGAGTAAATACGAGTGTGTTCTACTATCTAAAGTGAACTGAAGCATTTTAGGAGACCTTGAAGGAGGCAGATTGCTTTTGCATGTGGAGGTCTCTTTTGGGGAGTACAGCATGGACAGCTCTTCTGAGGGTGACATCTGTACTTGCAATTTGGATATATTAGCGCTTAGCTCAGCCAGGCAGTATACTTTTGTTTGGATGCACAAATTCTACCTTGATCACATGTACAGAAAACACATTTGCCACATAGGGTATTAACAGGTATTAATGCAGTATACAGTGATTTATACGTAAAAATGGAGGCTAACGGCAGAAAATCATAATATCACGTTCCATGATAGAATTCTTTCCAAATTCCCTCACTGCTCACTTTTCTCCATTTTTTAATTTATGATTTGTCGTTACAGTTTTATGGGATGTTTGTGCTCTTCCATTTCTTCTGCCTCAGTTTCTTCCTGCCCTGTACCTTCTCTTCCTTTTCCTGTTGTTGTTTGCTATTTAAATTCCAACTCTCTGTCATGTTACTGGATCAGCTCGACTAGTTCACTCATCCCTGTTCAACACTCTCAAGCCTATTTGTGGTCTGCTGTTATAAAGAAAATTTGTATGTCATTAGAATGGCAAGATGAGAAAAAAGGGAATAGAACAGGTATTTTTATGCAGAATCAGTAAATTCTACCAAATTAATTGAACAGTTACAGCACAGATGGGAACAAGTTTAGCGCTTGGAGAGTAGTTAACTTTCAGAGTGTATTTTGCTAGAACGTATACAACTTCATTTAATTTTCAGGCTTTATTTACCTTACGTTTTTCCCCTGCTAATTAAAATAGTTCCTCAAAGAGGTTAGAGTACATCTGAAGTGAAATGATTAATAAAAACGAAGCGCTTTCTTCTGATCCACGGTGTTGGAAAATGCACCTTCTCATAATGGAGCAAAGAAGATTCACCGATGAAGACTAACAGACGCCGGTCGGTACAGTGTGATTGTCGGTGCGTTTTGCTGAGGAGCTGGAACAGGAAGGGAACTAGCCAGCACAGGATAAAAAATTGACAAGCTGAAAAAGGGAGCTGATGATTTGACAGCAGATTTGCTGAACTGAAGAAAATGGGCGAGTGACATTCAGTGTGAGAGCAAGAGTTTACTAATGTGTTGTATTGATTATTGGCACCTACTGATGGGATGAGAGAGGGGAAGACAGCTGTCACCCTGCTCTAAGACCCAGAAGTGTACCCTGACGGTACCAGTAACTGTAGCATCAGTGCCAGCCTTGGAGGTGAAAGAGAAGAGGAAGAAGACTCCTTCTACTTGAGCAGCGACCTGAAGGGCATGGCCAGCATTTCATTAGGATATTGGACAGTGATTCTGAACTTGCTGTTCATGTTACCTGAAAGGCAACGTGATTTCTTTGTCAACCATTGTTGGTTTTCTTCTCAAAGAAAAGAGAAAATTTGACCATCATTTGGAACATCATCCCTTGGGAAGCAAAAAATTATTGGAGTTCTTCTGGATTCCTAAAATATTTCCTTATAGTTTCTGCATTCATTCAGATATCTTTTAGTTGCAGAGTTTTTAGGTAAAACAGTGAAAATAGAGAACTAACCACAGAAAGCGGGAGTTATTCTGTAGCTGATGATGGATACTTTTGTCTGAAAAATCTAACCCATATTTCTGCAGTGGGTGATCAGAGGACCATAAAAAATTGGACTCTGATCATCTCATCACAACTGTGATGGTGAATGTTCCTGCCATGTTTCCAATGCACATGTTTTTTCTCACATCTGCTTCTTCAGGATGCCTGGGATGTTGGCCCCAAGAATTTAACACAATTGTGTTTTTAGAAGCACCAGGAAAGCTTCTGCTTTTTACAAGCATTGTGCTTTAATATTATCCTTAAGATCATATTTAGCTCTCACTGATTTGGAAGTTCTCTACAGCCAGTACATTTTTACAGTGCAACCTCTTACCGGGGGAAGAGATAAAGAATAGCTAGTTAGTTTTTGGACTCCTCGCACAGTCTCAGTTCTGCAGAGGAGGATATGGACACAAGGTCACATGGACAGAGTGATGGTCCACGTGACAGCTTAGCAGCTGTATACGAAATCTAGGAAAATGTATCAAACTGCTTGTATCACTGCAGAGAAACGTGGTATAAGTATGAAATTGGACAATGCTCTGCCAGATATTTTTTAAGTATACTGTAAGTGCATATATATGAGAAAAGAGCTATTGGCCAAGTAGCAGGATATCAGGTGCTTGCCCATGTAATGGTTTTTTTGTTCTTATTCATGTGACTCATATATTACAATATGAAAGGCAACTTAGAGAGATAAAGTTTTGTGTAATGAAGTAACAACTACTGTAATAGTAGGATCTGATCTCTCTCTTATCTGAAAGTCTAGCTATCTTATTTTTTGTGAATCTTCCCTGGTGAAGTTAGCCTGGTTTCTTAAAGGGATTCAAATTTCATGTAGAAATGGCAGGAGAACGTTCTGTTTGGTAACATGGACCCGGTGCTGCCACGAGACAGATGGAGTTGGGACAAACGACATATCGATTTTGATCTTTACAAGAAACCGCCTGAGCTGTGCATGGCAACAGTCCTGCAGAGAGGTAATGGGTCTGTTTTAATTAGCTAAACAGACTGCTTTTTATTTAAGCTCTGACATATGGTCCTGAAGCTTGTTCAGTTCTGCCGTCAAGGAGAGGAGGGTTAGCAAGGGGATCCACATACGGCAAAACCATTTGCACTCTAGCAAATGAAACATCTTAGGGTGTAAGACCTTGCCATACTGTGTTTTTACCTTTCCATTATGTAAGTTCTTAGCCTTAGTTCCTTTGTCTGCAGTAAAATATGACGAGAGGGTGTAGATCCTTCTTGGTTTCATCTTCTGTAAAGCTAGCTCTGTTAGCTGTCTGATCTTTTCAATAAGGATTGGTGACAGTCAGCTTTTGTTGTTACCGAGGTCAGACAGAAAGCTACCTCGCAGACACTAAGCAATAGCAGAAAATTAGTCCAGAGGCGAGTTAAGAAGAGGTTAAATCTGCAGGCTGTCACAGCAGCCTGTAGTGTGCCTCCTTCTGCTGTTGAACTGGGTTAAACTTAACTGGCAGGGTGATCAGTGTGTAATAACCTCATGTTCCGCCGTAAACAGCAAGATAAAAGACAAAGTTACATTGAAGCTTAATTATAATAAGCTATTTTGAAAAGTCTGCCATGTGTTTCTTCCCCCGCCAAAGCCAGTCGAGATTCCCTGGAACGCTTAAGAGCCAAAAGTAATAGATTGATTGTGCTTGCTGGAGTCTTTTATCTTTTACAACTTTTCTGCTGGCATGTTACCCCATGTCTTGCAAAAGGCTTGTTTAGTGCAGTTCTCCTCTAGTGTTTCTTATGGAGGAATGTTTTTGGAAGTAGAGAGGATTTAATTTTCATGTGTCTTTTATGGAGCCTGCAGTACAGTGAGTGTCTTTGCTGTGAGGTACCAATCATTATTCTAAAACCTGTACAATTTGTTCTAGTTGAATCCTTGTGAGGAAGGTTGTTCATTGTAATAGCAGACTTCTAATATTCTTGTTTAAACACCAAAACTTCCTATCTTTTCCATGTAACTGCTTTCTGTTGCCTGTTTTCTTTTGCAATCTCTTGTCGGCCTTGTGAAGATGCTACTCAGGTTCTGCAAACTGCGTTTGATGATACCAAGCTGAAAGTTCACCGGTGCTCCACAGCAGCTGAGTTACGCGCACGTGGGCCAAGAGCCGCTTTTCAGCTACAGAAGCTCCAAGGACTTCTGAAAGACAAACCCTTGAAATTCTCACTCAGGAAGCCAGGTCTCATTTTGAAGGTAAATGGTAACTTTCCTGGGGTTCTGACCCTGGCACCTACTTGTAAACAGCAACTGCTGTCCTTCCCCTTGCGGTAGGCGGATATTAGTATAAATCAGTTTAGCGTAATATTTTTTTAAGTAAAAATATTTGTTAAATTTGATACTAATAATAACAGTGGTTGATTCAACCTTACAAAACTTAGAAAAACATCTCTCACAGGGCGCAAAATGATTTTTTTAATCTTTGCTTTGATGGTCAGAGATAATGGAGGAAGGGGGGAGAAGTTTTGCTCAATTAACTTGCCTGTCAGTGTGCAGTGGGTGAGAAAAGGAGAATGATTTTTAGCCAACTGGCTTAGCAGCTCTAAAAGAAATTGTAATGTCCTTTAATGAAATCTAGGGACCAAGCCACTTCTATTGACTAGATGCCAAGGGCTCACCATGTGCTCTCTTGATTACCATAGTGCTGTATAGGCTTTCTGAGCGTTGCACTTCAGCCTGTCAGTGCAGAATCCCACACAGACACCCCAATTTTGCAAGACTAAAGGATTTGTGCTCATTAATACGAAAAGCTATATGGGTGGCCTGCACCTAACTGTTCTTTTGTTGGCTGAATCATACAGACAGTGCTTGCCCATAAATGAATGACCCAAACATTGAGCATACTTTTAAAGCTGATTTCAATCAAAGGGAATGAAGCTCTCTGTTGGCTACAAATGCTCTAGAAAAACAAACACAGGAACAAGAGAAGGTTAATAACAAAAGCAGAGTTAAACCGTTTAGGCTAACTGCCTCCTTCCTCCTTGCTTTTAATATTCTGAGCATCAGTGCTTGTATTAGATGGACACTCAGCAACAGGCTGGCTAGCTTTGTCTGCTCACTGTGGCAGGCTTTGAGCTGTTGTTCTCTGTGCTTTGCCTTCTGTTTTGATTTGGCCGTTCAAGCTATGAAAGTTCTCTATCTCGGACTGCACTTTGCCTGTTTTCTGTAACGTCAGTGAACAGCCTCTTTTGCTAGACTGAATATAAATAATTATTTATTTATTAGTTAACACACAGCTTGAACTTCATGATATGCTGGTTATGGCAATCAGATTTGACTCTGACATACTCGAGTTTCTTGAACACATTTTCAAGGCTTCCTACTGTAGCCCAAAGGAAGATATTTCTTTCTTGCCTTGCAGAATTGTCTGCTCCTTTGTAAAGACATCCCTTTACAAGGGAGCGGTTACGTGTGATAACTTTCTAGGGTCTGCTTTGGAAGAAAGATTTGTGGTTTTCATTTGTGTTTTGGGGTGGTGGGGTTTTTTTTGGGGGGGGGGGGTTGTTAACATTGTGTTTTTGCATCTTGCTCTTGCCCATTTTCCAGTGCTGTTGTTTATATTCAGTTACAGTGTTTTTCCTCTGACAGAAAAAGTAAGGAAACTTCCCTTGCTGGATGATATGGCTGGCTGAGGGAATGCAGAATTTACACAGGAGAGATGTATTAAAGCTAAACACGCAAAGTCCCTTTACTGTAGCATCGCTGTTTTCTGCCTATTTTTATTTAAGATTGTTTTCAGAAGAAGAATGAACATAGTATCTCAGATACATTAGCTAGTTCAGTGTCATTGCCTTCTGTTATCCTGTTGTTCTTACGCTGTTTTGTTCTCTGCCTATTTGTCTCTCTTGGACCACTACCTTCTCTCTTGTTTTTTTTTTTCTTCAGCAGCTTAGAGATGGTTATTAAGTACCAAGGACTCTCCTCCATACAATAAACAGTATAATTCCCTCTATTGTCGTCTTGACTAGGAATGCTGACTTCTTGCTCCATGTCAGATCTGTTTTTCACATCATCTTTGGAAGGCCGAGTATTGTTGCCACGCTGCTTTGCCTATCGCTTAGGTGTTCCAGCCTCTGTTCTGTACACTCTGTTCTGATTGTCTCTGTACACTCACTTTTTTTTCGTGAGCTGGGGGGTAAGTGTGAGGTCTAGCTGTGCCGGATCAGGTCTGTTTAAGTCCCCTATCGGGGAGTTGAAACAAGATAATCTTTATGTTTGTGCTTAGCAGGGAACGGCATATTCCTAGGTGCAGGCTTTCTGTCCTAATAGGATTTATTTTTTGCTGTAGAAGCAAATAGCTTCCTTTTTTTAAATCCGTGCAGGCTTGCTGTACCTGCTTCAAATGCTGGGACTCTCCCTCAGATAAGCTGCTTTCACCTTCCCTGAGTGAAATCCAACACAGTGTGTTAGCTGTGCTTGCTTCTGACATTTGAATCATCTTCTGTTTCTTGTTAGATCTTGTCTGTTGCATCTGTTTGCTTATTGGGACTTTCTTCTGTCAAGTATTCCTACTCGTTAGGCAAACTACTTGAGGAATATATGATATTTCTGTGGATGCTCTTTTTGAGTGAGTTACCTGGCTGAATTTTTTTTTCCTCTTAAAGCTAAGAATCAGCTTCTCGTTTGGATCATAAAGGTTTTGAAGCATAAAGTTTATAAGTAATGGCTTTTTAAAAAATTGATCTCAGATAAATGCTTATAAAACCCGATGCTGCTGTGTAATGAGCGCTTTAGCTGTGTATTTTTCCACCCTTGTGGTTTGTTTGTAGGATAAATGCTCTGAGACTTATTTATCCTATAAAATATGCAGCAGCTTTAATTTTCTTCTCCATGTATTTGGGAATCCTTGTTTCTTGAAATCACGGTAGTGTTAATCATGGGGGGGGGAAGATGTGACATGCGCTGGACTCTTACTTTGTATAAAGAGACCTTCACCTTAGCCCAACAATGGGGCAGCCTATTTTCCAAAAATGTGTATCACTTTCTTTAAAGTGCAAGTAGGGGAGCAGCATCTTCCCTCTGTTGCCATCTACACTGAATAGCTTTTTGAGGAAAGGGTAAAAGAATACATTCTGCGGTCCCTGGGGCAGCTGGGGAGTGGCGCTCTCTGTTCATCTGCCTTTGGACAGAATGAGTAACGTTACGTTTAAGTGAAGGTTTGAGCCAGTGAATTGGCTGGCAGTGCACCCTCTCTGCCAAACTCTGTCATTGTAGTAATGTGTCATGTCCAGGAACTGCTTCTGCTCAGAAAACCTGAGGAGCAACTCATGTGGTAGCTCAAGGGCACCCCCCCCCCCCAAAAAAAAGGTACTGTGTGGGCAGCCATTCCTCCTTTGTTATTTTTAAGTAGAGCTGACTGACTGCCCTAATGTACTGTTTGTGCTCTTTTCCTAGCCTATGCCAGCCTTGTCGGTGTTGGACAGTCAACCCTGTGACAACAGTTCGGATGTCCTGGGAAAGAGGAAGAGCATCACTTGCGGCTTTGTACCAGGTGCTAGTGACCAGCACAGCTTGAAGTGGAACAAAAATATAATCCCCTGCCATAACAGAGAACATGAGAAGTTTGAAAAACTCAAAGGAGCAGACTTCAAGTGAGATGGCCTACTTGCTAGAAAAAGATGACGACTGTGCAAAAGGGGTTGGGGCGGGGGGAGGACGGGCAGGACTAGAATGTTAAAGGCTTACCAAATCATTTCAGACAGCGCTTATCAAGAGTTACACTATATTAAGTTATGTCTAATGATAAATTACTAGGTTGATAATTATTAACCTACTAAATTATTAGGCTGTATCCTAAAAAAACCAGTTCTTCTTTAAGATAGAAAGCCTGGAGTTCTTGGGAGGACACCCACTGAAATCCAAACTCCCAGTATGAAGGAACAGGGTTTGCCACGGATAAATATTTGTCTGAGCGTCCCTGTGTGCATTAGCTATGTGGTCCCAAACTGAGCTTTCATCAGTACTGTAAGTTAAGAGCTGCTGGCACTTCAGCAGTGTCCCTGGCTTTACACTGGAGGAAACTATGCTGCAGCATTTCTGATCTAAGAAACATGATTCTAAGTAAGTAAGTTCATGAAGGACGAGTTTTATTTTTCCAGTTCAAGCCACTAGAAAGTTAAAAGTTCATGTTGGTTGAACTTTTTTAATGCTAGCTTTGCCTTTTGAGCTGCTCTTTAATTTAGATACTAACTACAGGTTTCTTGCTAAGTCACTCATCAGTGGCCTTGTGATTGTAATTAATTATGGCAGAATGCAAAATGCATATTGTTCTGTATTGTGGGCGATGAGCGCTGGGCTTTGGTTTGCTCAGTCAGTCAGTCATGCAATCAAAGCTTCTAAGATATTGCTGTGTTTCATTTAATTGTTTAGTTATTGCAGAACTTTGGTCATCCAGAATCCCATACCTGTTATAAAGCGCGCTTAAAAAGGTCAAACTTTTTCAGTGTCAACAACTTGTGAAATGAAGTTTCATTAGCTTCCCTGGTGAGCCCCATGTTGACGGGGACATTTGCTTGGAATGTGTCCTGCAGGCCATTAAAGCATGCGTTACCACAGTATATAGTAATAATGGTCATTTCACAGCTGGCCCTGTAAAAGGTAAGGTTTGAACTACAGCTCAGAAAAACAAGGTGTTTGTTAGCTAATAAAATTTATAATTTCTGGTTCAGCACTACTAAAATGTCAGCAAATGTAGCTGGAGTGCACAATGCTCTTTCTTTAAGTAAGTAGCATAGCACTTTGAGTTCAAGAATTCTATTTAGAATTGCAGGGTCCCTAAGAGTTGAGCAACTAGACTGCAAGTAACATAGACACACTAATTGATAAAAGCGGAGAGCTCCTTGGCTAACGGTACATTTTTTAGATGCAGTGTTTAATGAACATCTTTGTTTCATTGAAAAATTGCAACACTATTAGAAAATATGATTGGTAGGTTAAAGAAAGTTACAGCTTATTGTAAGAGTCCATCTTCGTTCCAGGTTACTTTGCTATAATCATTCATTTATTTACAAGAGAGAACGATCAGCACGAGGAGGACACAGTAACATCCTCGCACAACAGCAAGACCCTCCCCAGAATGATACGATGGAGCCAACAGTTATTCTGGATGCAGGTAAGCTGGTAAACAAAAAGCATTAATGAACAGCAGCAAATTGGTAATGTATACCTGTGGCATAAAATAAGGGGCTTCCTACTGAAATCTGGCCAGATGGACCCTCCGTCCTTGGAGATATTAAAAACTCACCCAAACAAGACAATGCTTGTAGCTGGCCCTGCTTTCAGCAAGGGGTTGGACCACATGACCTCCAGAGGGCCCTTCCAAACTAAAGGGGTCTGTGATTCTGCAAGTCTTTCAGTGCTTATCCTATGGTAAGAAAATAGTTGATTAAGCGTAAAGATACTCACAAACAACCCATCCTTACCCATGGAAGAAAACATCTCACAATGTGAACCTTAACCATTTTTATTTAGCTCGAAGGGAAACAGAGGCATACATCTTAGTAAGACAACTGGAGATTTAAATAAAATTTCTTTATTAGTCGTCTTTATATGAAGTTGGGTTTGAAAATTTTATTTTACACAGTTACAGCAAATTACAGTTGCTAAACTCATGAAATAATAGTTATTTTTAAGGTGTCAAGTCATTTGACCTGATGATTGTAAATGAACAATAAGTAATTTTCTGCAGTTCATTTGCTGTCAGTGAAGTAATTAGAACGTCCTGTCCAGGGGATGAGAACATATATAAGCTCTCTTTTCCAGTACTTGTTTTGCAGCTTTTTTAATACTGTCATCCAGGTTTTCGTCTGCATCTATCAAGGAAACAAAAGGAACGTTAACTAAGTACAGTAAACAGCTTTTCTGAATTTCATTCAGAAAGGATTTTAGAGTCCAGATACAAGTAGCTAAACTTCAGTGGCAGGAAGTAATTTAAACAGTGCCTTATTTTTTTATCTAATAGTTTCTTTAGAGGAGTATTTGTTATTGTCAGATTTTTATACTCCTTCTCATAGCTTCAGGGCTCTCATGCTTTTTAAAAAAGTATCACAGCAGTTTATCTATACAAAAGAGAAGAGACCGTTCATATTCAACAGGCACTAGTTATGTTCCTCATCCCAATTAAAGGCAGAGCAAAACTATTCCGTTGGTCACACCATCATTAAAATATTTAATTTTGTTTTGAGTCTGTTAAAGCTGTAAGAATAGAAAGAAATTCTCCTATTTCATAGAACTTACTTACATTTTTCTAATTGAGCTATGGCATAATTATTCTTGAAATATGCTTCTGTGCAGAAGATATTTGTAAGAAGCACCTGAGAAAACAGTAGTAACAGTCAATTGAAAAAAAGGTCATCAATTTCATCATAAACAAAATAATGCAGTAAAAATACAGTAGTTTAAACTTCTGGAAGTTTGGTTTTTCTCTCTTAGCATGGAACTTTGTAAGCTAGTAATACATGCTGCATG